TAATTGCTGTATTTTTTATTGGCATGTGGGTCCCATAGTTAGCCTATTGCAACTGTAGTAGAGGGTTCATCACACCATTGCAAATGAAATGTAGTTTTAGTTCAATTTCATGCAATAAAATTGCATTGATTCTAACCATCACAAATGCTCTTAATTAATTATTGCATATACTTTTGGACATTTATCGATCTAAATTCTAAATTCTAATGCATGTCAAGGCTGCTCAAGAAAAAAAGTATGGGGATCATCGCCAGCATCACGTAAAGCAAATTCATTTGGTTCAAAATGTTAATTGCCATTTATGCAAGTGATCCGGAAGAATGAGAATCCCCATTTGCTTCGAAATTAATTCTTAAATGTATTTGATAAATATATATAATAAAAAGCTTAGATGCGATTCTTTAATTTGTACGCACTAGCTATTGTCTAAATGTTGACAACTTAAATATACCTAAATCAGAATTTATAATAAATAATAAATAAAAAACAAAAGAAACATATACAAAGACAATCCCGACGAATCCCTAAGATCGTACAAAATCTTACATTAAGTCACTGAATTTGAAAATATAGAAAAGCAAATAGTTGGTAATGCTACATGGCTGCCAATGCATCCGTCACAAAGTCAGCTTCATGGAGAATATGTTGCCTAATGTGCACCTTATTGATTCACTTTTTAATGTATATCATCCACGATAAAGAAACGCTAAGGTGGAGTTCTATATCATCCATTATTATTGTCATGTTCACATACTAGGGAGCACTTTATGGGTTCCTCTAAATCACTTTCTTAGACGAATTTTAAAGAGGAATTGTAAAATACAACTCCAAGTCCAACCATGCTCCGTATACACCTTCTAAAATAGGGAGACCTCTAGGAGCTCCTAAATCTGAGGATAGATAAATGACTTCTAGTGGCTCCCTATAATTTAATGTTGCATTGTTTTATGCATATTTCAAAGTTTTAATGAATGCTAACCATTTTTTTATATAATAGAAATGGACCAACTATATTGAATTTAAAAATAATTTTTGTGTGTTTTTAGCTAAATTTTAACTAAAAAGATAGAGAGCATGATTGTCGATGCTCTAAGGCCATCTCCAACCATGTTGGGGCTAAACTCAAATTTCTACCCTCCAAAATACAACTATTCATGTATTGTCGAGACTCAAACTATTTTTTTCTCCAACCATGCAGACTCATAATTTGAGTCCACAACTTTGTTAAATTGTTTAAGAATGGTTAACCCCATTTTTTTTTTCATTAATTTTTCTTGACATTATTTTTGTTTCAAATTTCATGATTTAATTTTTTGAACATTTTAACTTAAAAAATTCCAAATTCCAAAACATTTTATGATTTCACTTAAAAATAAAAATGAGGATAACAACATTTTATTTCATAGACTTTAAAAGTAAAAAGAAGTGGTTTGTTTGTTTTTTTTTTTACTTTTATTTTTGCTTCATTGAATTCCTTTATCCACCTGCAATAACCCATGCTCGCCTCCATTTGTCTTCTTCAATTATATTCTGAATCCTTTTCCATATTCTATTGTCTTGTTTTAATCATGTTCTAAACCATGGTTCATCTTTGTTCATCTCATTTTATTGGATTCCCTTATCTTTCCCTATCTTTTCTCTATCTTCATTCAATAATGATCAGACATGTAGGACATTTTGTTTTGTCATCTTGCCATTATTTCCTCTCTTCCTCTTTATCCATTTGTATCTTATCGTGATTTCCTCTACTCTAGTGGCTATTGACTTTTTTATTTTATTTTATCAAACGATAGAAATATCATTGATAAAAGTTGAAAGGCTCGATTACAATAGCCACAAAGAGTCACTTTACGCCCAGACCTTCATCAATAGAGAGTTGCAATGGTCATTCAACACCATACGTTTCTGATGGAGCAGTATGCCCAAAAATCCAAACATAGTGGTTCTGTTGAAGGTCATGAATACAAGAATTAGAAAAGAGAAAAACATCATAAGAATCTCATGGAGGACTACTTCCTTGAACCACCACTTTATCCCCCAATCGACTTTCACAAGTGATTCTGCATGTGAAGAGAGCTTTTCATTCACATCATGAATGATTTTGTTGCACATGAGCCCTACTTTGCTATGAAGGTAGACACTTGTGGACGACAAAGTCTATCCCTAAAGCAGAAGCTAACAACTGTCTTTCGAATGCTCACATACGGAGGCTCGGCAGACTCCACTGATGAGTACTCTAGATTTGGTGAATCTACAACCCTTGAATGTTTGTGGAAGTTTTGTTTTGCTATTGAAGTCTTGTATAGCCAGTTGTACCTCCGTTCTCCAAATTTGGTCGACCTTTATAGGCTCTTCCATAAGGCTAATCGCAAAGGATTCCCATGCATGTTAGGAATGTTATATTCCTATTTAGATTAGCGCAATAGATATTAAGTTATATCAGGTTTGATAGGAGTTTAAATTAGGTTATACCTTGGGGCCCAAGACTTTGTGAAATAAGGAAAGTTTTGAAGCCATAACTTAAATCAAAATATAACATATAATATCTGTTATGTACCTTTCATTGCATTGCACGTGTCATGCTTTTGATCTAAAATCAAGTTACTAATTATTTATTCACCAAACAACTGACATAAATTATCACCAAACAACAATATTTTCTTTGAAAAAATTAAATCTTATAACCTAAATCAAAATATAACATATAATATGTAAGATCCCACATCAACCAACGGAGAGGGGGTTGATGTGCCTTATATGTACATGCCCGAATCCATCTAGCACGAGGCCTTTTGGGAGCTCACTGGCCTTGTGCTAGATGGATTCGGGCATGTACATATAAGGCACATCAACCCCCTCTCCGTTGGTCGATGTGGGATCTTACAATCCACCACCCTTAGGGGCCCGACGTCCTCGTCGGCACACTCGCACCACACGACAGAGTGGCTCTGATACCAAATGGTCACATCCTGGGATCGTCTCCGCCGTAGCACGATATTGTCTGCTTTGGGCCCCCCTCTCTGCCATCACAGTTTTATTTTTGGGAGCTCACTACCAACTTCCCAGTGGGTCACCCATCCTGGGATTGCTCTAGCCCCCAACTCGCTTAACTTCGGAGTTTCCATGACTCCGAAGCCAGTGAGCTCCCAAAAGGCCTCGTGCTAGATGGATGCGGGCATGTACATATAAGGCATATCACCCCATCTCCGTTGGTCGATGTGAGATCTTACATAATATCTGTTTAAGAGTAAACCCACTAGGCAAAACAGAAGGCCCAGTCCAGTAGGCCTTGTAATGATTGGTTGGCCTTTTCAATGAAAGATGACCCAATCCCAACCAAGGTGATATGGACTGTCCCTGCTTGTGCGTGCCATCGGCCCAGCTCGATGCATCATCCCAAAACTTGGGATGCGACCCTTACCTACTTTAAATGTAATCATGATTTTGCATGTTACTCTAGTTTAACAAGGAATTAATTTCCTCACAGTATGTCTCCAACATTATTTTCACAATCCATTAACGAGGAAATAGTTGTTTCCTCGCAGATAGTGTAGTAGGAATTTTTGACAATTCCCTTCAAACCTATAATAACAAACAATATATAATCCCCACAATAGAAGCCTTTTAAAGAGGAATTAATTTCTTCGTAGTTTGTATCCCAAATTATTTTCACCATTTATTTACGAGGAAATAGTGTTTTGCTTGTGGAAAGTGTAGCAGGAAGTTTTGACAATTCCCTCCAAACCTATAGCGACAAACATTATATAATCATTGCAATAGAAGACTTTTGACGAGGAATTAATTTCCTCGTAATATGTCTCCCACATTATTTTTGCCATCCATTCAGGGACGGAACACAGGTTTGGCTAACCTGGGCTACAGCCTAGGTGGCTTTTAAAATCTCAGCCCAAAAAATAATTATAGCTCAGCCAGCTCCAATTGAATATCCTATTATCCTAGTCCTAACCTTCTTAGGAATCCAATTGAATATCCTAGTCATGCCTTCACGTGAGGAATAAAACTTATAAAAGGGAGAATAGGAAAGCTGCAGCCTACAACACATAGGATTAAAAATAAAAAATAAAAAAAAAGAGAAAAAAGAGAATGCACGCAGCTGGTGGAAAAAAAGGAAGAAAAGTTGAAGAAATTGTATAACTGTTTCTTAAAGTTGTCGACTTTGTCAGGTACGGTAAGCTTCTCTCAATTTGTTGATGTTGAAATTTGAGATTTTTTTTGGATTTTATTTAGTATCAATTACATATTTGCAATTGAGACTTATGATTTATTTATCAATTAGGGATTTACAATTGGAGCTTATCAGTTTCAGTTTATGAGTTATGAATTATCAAATAGGATTTGTAATTGATTTTGATGTTCTTGCTTATCCAATAGGTTATACTTTAACTTTATAATGTCGGATCATCATCCAAATCCTAAGAGATCAAAGACTATTAGGGATTTTTTTCAAAAGAAATAATGAAGAATCAACTAGCATGTGTTCCAACCCTTCTCTACCTCTTCCAATTTGTGAGGAGCAACCTCATTCTGAATCTCAAAGAGTTCAATCTGAAAGTTTAAGAGCTGAGTCTCAAAGAACTAATTTTGATCAAGAAGTTGATACCAATTCTCTTGAGCGTGATCCAGGATTACGTCCTCAAATAGACACATTTCTGCCTAATCAACGTGATAATGTTCGAAGAACATATATTCTCTTAGGACCATGTCAACCAAAACTAAAGGAATATTCATCCCACTTAGAAGGGAAACAAATGCGTCGATTTAAAGGTAGTTGGTATAACCAATATCCTTGGCTTGAGTATTCTGTTCATAAAGATTAAGTGTTTTGTTTTCCATGCTTTCTTTTTGACATTGATCACTCACATAAGGCATTCACTATAGAAGGATTTAGAAATTGGAGAAGAGTTGGAGGCAAAGAGTATGCTTTCCTTACTCATGTAGTCATTATAAATTCACCACATCATTTTGTTATTCAAAAGTGGATGGATTTAAAGAACCCGACTCACCATATTGACAGAGTTGTGCAACCCCCTCAAGAAGTTGCGAAAAATAGGTTGAGGCTTACAACCACAATAGAGGCCATTAGGCATCTAGCAAATCAAGGAATGACTTTTAGAGGTGATGATGAATCTCATGACTCCTTTAATCGGGGTAATTTTATTGAGTTGGTAAAGGCTTTTGCAAGAATGAATGAAGAAGTTGAAAAAGTTGTGTTACAAAATGCTCCTTTAAATGCCCAATATATTTCACATAAGATACAAAAGGAGATCCTAAATATCTATGCTAACAAAGTGAGGAAGAGGATACGCGATGAAATTGGGGAAGATGAGAAATTTTGTATTCTCGTTGATGAAGCACTTGACGATTCTAAGAAGGAACAAATGGCTATTATCATAAGATTTGTTAGTTGTGATGGGCATATTCGAGAAAGGTTTTTTAATATTGTGAGTGTTCATGACACTAATTCCTCAACTCTTAAAAGTGATGTTTGTAAAGTGTTTAGTAAGCATAGTCTTTTAGTAAGCAATACGCGTGGTCAAGGATATGATGGTGCTAGCAATATGCGTGGTGAATGGAGTGGCTTACAAGCATTATTTCTCAATGACTGTCCGTATGCATATTATATTCATTGTTTTGCTCATCGCCTTCAATTAGCTTTAAACGCTGCTGCTAAAGAGGTAGGACTTGTTTGGAGATTTTTTTTTAATGTTGAATAACATTGTGAATTTTGTTGGTGCTTCTGCCAAACGCCATTCTGAGTTAAAATTAACCCGACAAGCTGAAATTGAAGACTTATTAGCAGCTGGAAGACTTGGAACAGGTAAAGGGGCTAATCAAATTTGATGTCTGCAACGACCTAAAACTACTCGTTGGGGCTCACATTTTAGTTCTATTAGGAGTTTAATTGATTTATTTGGCGCAACCAAGACACTTCTAAAGGATATCAGTCATAATGGACCTACCGCACAATTTCACGGGGAAGCAGAAGGTATTAAAATTTCTATGTTGTCTTTTGACTTTGTCTTTGCCTTGAATTTGTTGGACAAAACTATGGGATTCACTGATTTTCTTTGTCAAGAACTTCAAAGAAAATCTCAAGACATTGTAAGTGCTTTGAATTTGGTTGCAGGTACAAAAATGGAGCTTGATGAGTTGAGAAACAATGGTTGGGATGATTTTATACAGAGTGTACGATCATTTTGTGAAAAACATGAAATTGGTATGCCTGATATGGGTACTCGTCATACAATGGGCACTGTGCGTTCTTGTCAACAAAAAGATTGTATCACAATGGAGCATTATTATCATATGGATGTATTTAATGAGGTAATAGATTATCATTTGGGGGAGTTAAATACTAGATTTCCATATGAAACTGTGGAACTCCTTCGTCTTAGCTCATCATTGGATCCCCGTGATGCTTTCAAGCGATTTAACATTAATGATATATACACTCTTGCTGATAAATTTTATCCTCAAGATTTCACTACAACTGAGTTGCAGGCTTTAAATCAACAACTGAGATTTTATAAGATTGATATGGATCACAATCCAACCTTCAAGAATCTTGATTCCATTCCTATATTACTTGAGCGCTTAGTGGAAACAAGATTAGCACAAACCTACTACTTGATTGACAGATTGATTCGTTTGGTGTTAACTCTTCCTATTTCTACAGCAACAACAGAACGAGCATTTTCTTGTATGAGACTGATCAAAAATTGGCTTTGAAACAAAATAGGTGATGAATTTCTTACTGATTGTATGTTACTTCACATTGAAAGAGAATTTGCTGATAATATAGATAATGCTGATAATTAATGATTTTAATTCTATGAAGACTCGAAGGGTGCAACTTATATAGTGTTATCTGAGAGGTAAGGCTCATTATGTCCCCACTTGAGTAGATGTATTATTATTATTATTTTGTTATCAATGAAATTACATTATTATCGAGTTTTCTATGTACTTAGTATGTTTATATGTAAAGTAAATTTAGCCCAGTCAAGTTTGAAATCCTGGGTCCGTCCCTGCATCCATTAACGAGGAAATAGTTGTTTCTGCGTGGATAGTGTTAGCGGGAATTTTTGACATTTCCATCCTAAGTTATAGCGACAAACAATATATAATCCTCTCAATAGAAACTTTTCAATAAGGAATTAATTTCCTCGCAGTTTGTCTCCCACATTATTTTTCACTTTTTTTTAAAGTACCACAATTTTTCGGTAAAATAAAAATAGGATTGTTATAAAAAAAAAAAAGGTTTAAATTTTGTTACTACTTTATTTTTTAAATTCAAAATTAGATTTTGTAGAGCTTTATGGTGAAAATAATGTTACAATGAGTTTATAGGATTTTGTCTTGTATTTTCTTATTTTAAATTTATTTATTGTGGATTTTAGAAGTTAAATCATAGGGAACTAATATAAAATAGATGAGATTGACACGTGTCAGCTTCTTACGGTATCTCCGTCAGCTTTCAGAAATTTGGCCCTATCATATTATGACACATGTCCCTGTCTTATTATTTTTTGTTTTTATCTTAAACAATGCATAACAAATTAAATAAAAATCACAAAAATACACTAAAAATTGCTACAAACTCCTTATGAAATAGTCATCCATTACGGAGATCTAAAATCATAATTCCACATATTTTAATTAATGGGTGATCATTGAATCAAAGAAACAATAGTGTATTGGATAGAATGTATTGATTTGTCTATGAAGAAAGTTAAGTTTTTATTATTGCTTTGTATTTTTATAACTTATAATTATATTTTTAGAGCTTTAAAGATAAGAGAATATCACAAGGAGTTGATAGGAATTAAGGAGTTTATAGGAATTATCGATGCATTTTTGGAATTATTTATTTATTTATTATGTCATTTTCTTGTAATTTATTGTGTTATAGAAGTAAACAATTCATAAGAAATTAAATTAAAACCAGAAAAATACACCAAAAATTGCTACATACTCCTTACAACATAGCCTTCTGTAATAGAGATCTAAATTCATGATTCAATATCTGAGTTAATGGTAATCAATGGATCAAAGAAATAAGATTATAAGACTTATAAGGTGGTATAATGTTTTGATTTGTCTATGAATAAAATTGAGTTTTTGTTATTACTTTGTATTTTTATAATTCAAAATTTGATTTTGGGAGTTGTAAGATGAATAAAATTTCACAAGGAGTTCCTTGGAATTTTTTGTGTATTTTTCTGATTTGCAATTTATTTATTATGAATTTTAAAAGTTAAATTGTAGGGAAATAAAAAGAAATATAAATTATTTGACATGTGTTAGCTTTTTAAAGGCTCTCTGTCAGTATATATGACATGTGGCCGTATAACATGGTGACATGTGTCAAATGAAATTAAAAAAAATTGTTATTTATTATTTTTATCTTAAAGAATCCATAAAATTATTTTCGCGTGAGCCCCTTTTTTTTTTCACAAAATTTTCATTTTGCGGTTTTATTCCTTCGAAATTGCTCTCTCTCTCTCTCGTCCCTAACCTGACCACAAACCCTCTCTCTTTCGCCCTCTCTGGCCCCAATTCTCTCCCTCTCTCTCCAGCCCAAACCCTCCATCCTTCTCTTCCATTTAGCAGCCATTGAGGATCACAAGACACTCACACCTCTATGCTCTCAAGGTAAGCCTCTCTCTCCGTGGCCACTTTTATTCTGGGAGGAAAGAAAACACAATCTCAAATTCGTGAACATTCAACAGCCCAAGTTTTCTGAATACAATGACTTTTCTTTTTCAAGTGGTTATTGTAGGTTCTATGTCAAATTTGAGTAGGGTTTTGTGTCTGATATGAATGCCCTGTTTTGCATTTGATGTGGGTTCTGTGTCAAATTTGAGATGTTTCACTTGCACAACTACCCAGTAGTTAATTCATTTTTTTATGTTTTAATGCTTTGAGTCTGATTGATTATTTTCCAAGTCTTGAATGTTTGCTTGATACTTTTGGATTAAATCTGAATTTCTTTACAATCTGTTGGAAGAAAAAATATAACAATTCATTTATATAATTGAAGTAAAAAGTTAGAAGTTGGAAGTTGGTCATGTGGGTTTGTATTCGTTTCAAAGTTCCTTTGCCTTTGTCTGTGAGCTTATGTTTTTTTTTGGTTATTATTATTGACTTTTTTTCCAATGTAGCTTATTGTGTTCTCTTTGTAGTTTAGATTTAAGCTAGCTGCAGAGTTGTCTATATTTTATATATAAGCTAGCTGCAGGGTCATCGTCCCATAGATTAACTCGTCAGTTTAGCAATTATTTTTCTTTCCCTTAGTATTGGTGTCTAAGTGTAGTACCACTTATTTGGTGCTTCCTGTGATGTCTAATTATGCTAGCCTTTTAAAATTGAATGAATCAGATCTAACAAGCACCCATTTCCCCATCTCCTTCCACTTCATTCAATTGAGGTCTGTTTCTCAGTTTTATTTTTTTACTTTTGTGCAATTGAATTGGTATTGAATTGCTAGCCTTTTAAAACCTAGACATTCCCAGATTACCATGTTGCCAACACCTCTCTCGTGTAGATTAAAGAAAAAAGCCAAAAGGAAACAAATTCAACAAGAAGATGCAAAACTCGAGCGATTCGAGTCGCTCCCATGGAACCAATCTCTTACCAATGATGATGACAACGCCTTCTCTAATGTCGCCGGCAACAATGAGCTCGAAGGAGGTTAGTGCATTTGCTTTCTTAATTTTGTTTTTTGTTTCAAAGAAGCTGGGGGTTTACATTTGATATTGTTAATTTGAGTGAATGCAGGTTTTCTTATGCTTGAAGAGATTGATGAAGCTGAATATGGTTTGCAAATTCCTGAACCACAAGTAGCAAATAGGAATAAGAAGGAAAACTCTAAGCAAAGTAAAAAGTCCAAGAAACGGAAGCGTGGCGGGGTCGATGGCTCTGCTGGTGATGGGGCTGAGGCTAAGGGTGAAGAGAAATTTGACAAGGATGATAATGAGACGAAAAAGAAAAAGAAGCTGGAGGAAGCTCAGGGAAGTGAGAATGTTGCTGGAAATGGTGACAATGACGTTAAAAATAAAGACAAGGATGAAGATGTGAATATTAAGAAGAAAAAGAAAAAAAACAAGAAGGGGAAGAAGGCCGGGGAGACCTTGGAAACTGGGGAGAACACAGTTGGTTTGTATTTATACTTTTGGGATTTTCCAATGCTTGTTTGTTTTATTTTATTTAATTTCTTTTTTATTGGTGTTGTGTTGTGCTGTTTCTTTTTTTATATTCTGCATTGGTGTTGTGATTCCAGATGACAGTAGCACTGGCAAGGAAGAAATTGAAGAAGAGCCTTTTGAAGAAGGTGAATATTATGCATGGAATGAGTTGAGACTCCATCATCTGATTATGAAATCAATATATCGGCTTGGGTTCAAGAAACCAACGCCAATACAGAAAGCTTGTATTCCTGCTGCTGCTCATCAAGGGAAGGTTGGTTAAGGTTATTTTATAAGATCTTGGATAGGTTGTGATTATATCTAGTTTGATGGTCATTATAATTGATTTATATGGCAGGACATTATTGGAGCTGCGGAAACAGGGTCCGGGAAGACTCTAGCTTTTGGTTTACCCATTTTGCAACGGTTGTTGGAGGAAAGAGAAAAAGCTGTGAAGATGTTTGATGAAAAGAGGGAGGAAACTGAAAAGTTTGCTCCAAAAGGTCTTTTACGAGCCCTTATTATCACTCCCACAAGAGAACTTGCAATTCAGGTAATACAGTTGCATTGCCAGTTGATTTTCTTCATGTAATTCTCAGTTGCATGAGTGCATATGTTGACATTTTGTATAGTTTGATGCCTGCTGCTGCGGCTCTTGTTACGTTTGAGTCTAGGAGTTGGTGAAGATAGCTTGAAAACTTCTTTTTTTTGTATCTTTTCTAAAATAAGCCTTTGGTTTTTATAGTAAAAGAAGGATCATTCCTAGTGGATGCAGCAGAAGTTTCCATTTTAGTACAAGCTGGGATGCAGCAGAATTTTCCATTTCTGAAAAGTTATCCGATGTTTATTTTTGCTTTCTCTGGGAAGCAAGAGCTTACTCATCCCTTTCCATATTGTTTTTCAACATAAATAGCGGAAATACTTTTGGAATAATTGGAACATATGGGTTATAGAATTTTTGTGAACCGTGTTTGATTTGGAATTTGCATGTGACGAATATTTTTTTCATTTTCCAGGTCTCTGATCATCTTAAGGCAATTGCCAAGGATACCAATGTTAGAGTGGTTCCAATAGTTGGAGGGATGTCAATGGAAAAGCAGGAGAGACTTCTAAAAGCAAGGCCTGAGATTGTTGTTGGGACTCCTGGAAGATTATGGGAACTTATGTCTGGTGGAGAAAAGCATCTAGTTGAGGTTAGTACTGATAATATTGTGTATTTATGCAGTTGCCTTCATTGGAGGAGGGCTATCCCTGTTCTAGTGTGCATAAATGAGCTGCACACATGTACTACACCCTTGACATGTGATATAGTTTAAATCAATTTTGTGACTCTTATTTTTTGCTTTTGCAGTTACATTCATTATCTTTCTTTGTGCTAGACGAGGCTGATCGAATGATAGAAAATGGTCATTTCCGTGAATTGCAGTCAATAATTGACTTGCTTCCAGTGAAGAATGTATTAACTGAATCCCATTGTGAAAATGCACAAAATTACGTGGAGATGTCCAACTTTCAGACGAAGAAAAGACAAACATTTGTTTT